ACTGAGAACAGAGGCCCCCCACCCCATGCCACATTTGTCAGTGTCATCTGGATCACTGCAAGGCACATGTAGCCTGTAAGGTCAGCCCTAAAATGACCCCTTGCAAAAATCCCTCGAGATTCACTCCTCCCTGGGCAGGGTCCCTGCCACTTCGTCATCCTCCAATGTATGACTATAAAATCTGGAAAATTCCCTAACAGGGAGCTTCCAAAGTTGACGTGGCCAACCAACCTGCCCACCCCTAAACGGGTTTGTTTAAATGAGTGACAAGACAGGATGAATGCACCTTATCTGCTATGACTCTCTCCCCACATTCTTCTACTACCTAAAAATAAAGTTGTCCCTTACCTGGGATCATGGAATACGAGTTTTCCCCAAATATTCATTTGCTTAAATCCTGGTCCTAGTCCTTTAGAGGTGACTCTATTTGGAATTATGGTCTTTACAGTGAGGACTACAGTGGACCTACATCCATGTAACTGGGGTCCCTCGGAAACTGGGCCGGCGACAAGCACAGGAGGAAGACGACATGGAGTGGGGAGACGTCAACGGGAGAGGCCTGGGACAGACTCCTCAGTCCTCAGAAGCAACCAAACCTGCCAGCGCCTTGGTCTCGGACATGTGGCCTTCAGGACCATGAGACAATAAGTTTTTGTTAAAGCCACCGTCTGTGGCGCTTTGTTAGGGCAGCCGTGGCAAAGCCATACCCAGCAGCCACTGCAGTGAAGTACCCACGGCCGGGCTCCCTCTCTCGTACACACGCGAGCCCGCGAACTTGGGCAGAGCTGGGATCCACACAAATGAGTCAGACAAGGAGAGCTTATTCATCGCCCCGACGAACCCACAGGCCGAACCCCTGAATCACTACTTTATTTATCACTGGGCTTGGGCTCAGAAAGTCTTGACTAGGAAATGAGTAGAACCCAAACTCATCGGCTGCATTTTTTAAACATGCCTAATCTCAGAGGCTCTTTCCCAGCCAAAAGGAATCCTGAGAAGGAACGGGGCTCCTCTGAGCCGCCCCCAGTGGTGGTGGGCTGGTGCAGAGACAGGGCCCTTTGTTCTGCCACGCCGGACGATGAGGAGGGCAGAAGAGAAGGGCCTGTCTTGCTCTGCAGGGAGGCCACGCCTGGGCTGGCTGAATGGCGGGCCGAGCAGGGGCTGCCTGGCACAGTTGGGCTGGGGATGCTGGACGCACAAAGGGCTGATGGGTAGGGCACAGGGCAGCACCCAGAAGGGAGCATCAGAGTGGGGGGAGACATCAGAGGTGAAGCAGCCATGTCACGGTCAGTGCCTGGGGGGTTGGGGGGGGACACAGTGGTTGGGACAGTGAGGAGGGATGCATGCAACAAGAACAAAAACTAAACAGTGTGTGCTTGGGAACGGATGGGCATCTGGAGGCACACGGGAGGAGATAGGGCGGCTTACAAAAGGCGCACTTATCCGGGGCAACTTGCAAAGTAGCTTTTGAGAAGAGAATCTAGTATCTCTAATCTCAGAAGAAAAGTCACTGTTCGTTCCCAGATGAGGACGGTGCCTCCAGAAATCCAGGTCAGTGGTGATACAAAGAAGAGCAAGACAATGGCCCCCACTGTCCCTGCCAGTTCCTCCTCGCCTGTCCATCCTGGGGGTGCTCCCCTATCTCCCCTGTCGTCTGTTCCTGACAGTTCCTCCTTTTTGTCAGAACCACTCTCCAGATAAAGAACTGACTGGACAGCAGAATTCAGGGGCGGGTGTCTTCTCCCACTGCCACCCCAGGAAGCAGCGTGGCGAGAGTAGAACGCACACCAAAGACCCCCGAGGCCATAGTGGGCCCTGGACGGAAACCAGATTTTAGTACAGAGCATCAGTTCTCCCCAGGGGCTATTTTGCGTTTCTCCAGGGAACACATCTGGAGAGATATGGGGTTGTCACAACTTGTAGAGAAGCAAATGCTATTGGCATCTAAAAAGTGGAGGCCAGGGATGCACTGCTCACCGTCCCATAGCACACCAGGCGGTCCCTACCGAAAAGAACAATCCAGCCCTAAAGGTCAACGATGGCACGGTTGAGAAATTCTGCCCTAGAGATTTGGTCTGCAGCAATTTAAGGTTACTTATGATCCTTTACATTCTAGAAAAAAAGCTCAGAGAACTCTCTCGGAAGTCATCACCTACCTGGGCCTATTTTAGGAAAACAGGACCAATGAAACCTTTTGCTGGTGGTTGGTAGAACAAGAGAACAGGGACCAATAAAAGCATCTATTATAGCAGGTGCTCAAAAAGGGCAGGGCTTCAAAGGAGCTGCCTATGCAAGTCTGTCTTCCTTGCTCGGTTTAACACCCTGACGTCCTTCCAAGTCTGGCACAAGGCCAGTCACCTCTTCCGAGGAAACTTGTTGGAATCCCCCTTCTCCCAAAGCTTATGTTGGCCATCCCTGATCCTGACCCAGGACAGATTGTGACCCCTCTGTCACTGCATAGACCACCTGATCTGAACTCCACTCTTTCTATGTGGGAGACACTAAATAGCCCTCCTCCAGCAAATGAGGGTTAATTGCTGTCCTTGGGTGTCAGTCAAGTACCTGGCACAACCAACTCTTGCTTAACTGAATTCTGGACCCAACACATACAACCTGGGAGAGATGAGCAAAGGGAAGCACCAAGTCAATGAGTCCCTGCTGGGGAAAGAAAACAGATCCTACAGACTTACGGGGAGATTCCCAAGTCCCCACCTGATTTATAGTCACCAAGTTGAACTTGAGGGAGGGTCTTTCCCAGGGATTTCCAACTGGATAGTTAGGTCCAAACCTTTGGGAATGGGTGCACTGTGCAAAAACACACTGATTTTCTACTTGGAAGACAAGGGCTAGGGGTGTAGCTCAGTGGTAGAGTGCTCATCTAGCATACATGAGGCCTTATGTTTGACCCCCAACACTACATAAACAAACGATAAAAAAGGTTGAAAAAAGCAATTAATAATCATTTGTGAACATAAAAGAGCAGAGTAGGAAGCTGAACAAAAGTAAAATCATTGTCTTGGGAATTTGAGAGATGGAGGCTGCATAAAATCTGAGGGAGGGTGTGTTCAGGAGACACACAGGTAATAACAGGGGCTGGGTTTTGAAAAATGCTGATGGAAGCCCATCCATTCATTTTGCAGGTGAAGAAACAGGGAAAGAGACTTGCCTGAGACCAGACCATAACAGTGCTTTCTCATGAGACCCCACTGGGCCAGGCTCCTGGTTCAGGGAGGAGGCAAAGGTATGGCCATGGGATGGGAAGAACCAGCCCTGTTCACTGGGGTGTCTTAGCCAGAGAAAGCGACAGTCAATGTTCCCAGGAGGCAAGGCTGTGGGCTATAACTGTGTATCCTGGAGCAAGCAAGGCTGAAAGCCTTTTCCCCTAAATGCTAGAACATTCTGGAATAGGTTATCTAAGGCTTTCTTTGTATTCAAACTATCCAGATGCATCTCTTAAGTAAGCTGTAAACCTGGCCTCTCTTCTGTTAGATCACAGATAATGCCCATCAGAACCACAAAGCTGGAGGCACTTGCCAGAGCAGACAGAAACAGACCCAGGACACAACTTTCCAGTTGCTCAGGTCACCTCCAGCTGCTTCTAGACACCTTGATTCTGGAGACTCCAAGACCACAAAAATGCCCTGGGGACTCTCAGGCTGCAAGTTAAATGTCTCTACTAGCTCCCAAAGAATCATGGAGGGACCTTCTCTTAAAGAACCTTGGTCTAGGGGGGCACCCAGGAAAGAAGGGAGGGTGCAGGGCTACTGGGCCTCTACCCTTGAGCTCACAGCCTCCGGGGGAAAGATTTCCTGTAAGTCGTTTTACCCATTTAAGTCCAAGGAGGATGCAGCTCCGAGGAAGTGCTTATACCCCTGCATACAAGCACCTTCACTTCTGAAACACATTTTGCGTCCCCAAGGCACCTTGTTTGCTCTCTCAGGGACCCCAGAATCTGGCTAGTCCTGTCTTCAGAAGAGAGTGGTGTAGTTTCCAAGATTGGGAGACAGACCCAGAGGCGCTGGGACTCCCCTCCAGATCACCCAGCTGCTGGGTGTGAAGTCAGAAAGGGGATCAATCAAGAGGGGAAGGGGGGCCAAACCTCCAGGGGGCTGCACTCCAACAGCTACACAGTACTAGTCTAGCCCTTTCCCTCCTCTCCAGGCCCTCCCTCGACCTACCCTGGCTTCTCTCCTTTTTTCTTTCCATACAGTCCCCACTTCTCTTCCCTTCCCAAAAGCCAGCCCGCCGCACCAGAAGTTCAGAACCTCTCACACTTACTGAGCGCCCACTGGGTGCCAGGCGCCGCTGACTCAGACACCCTTTAGCGCTTGGGTCGCGAGCAGAAGCCCCCAGGACCGTCCCGTACCCTTTCCCCGCGACCGCACCCCAGCTGTTCCCGCACGGGCCTTGCCCCCTCGCCCAGTCTGGGCCTCTCAACTCCGCCTCCTCGTCTTCCCCCGCTCCCAGCCCCGTTTCCTGCGACCCCCCAATTACCACTTAAGCCACGTCCTCTTCGGAGAAGCTGCTCAAAGCCACAAGACTCACCCCCCCACACGCCCACAAGCTGCCTCACCAGCTCCATCCCTATCTACTTTTCCCTTCTTCGTCTCGCTTCCACCCAACCCCGCAACCTCTCCACGACCCCCAGCCTCGTTCCCGCCCCCTGGACCCCGACCGTCGCGTCCCTCATTAGCCTTCAACTCCGTCCCTTTTCTCAGCGGCTGCTCCCCGTGCACTCTCCGAACTTGAGCACCCAACCCACAGCCGCCTGGAACTCACCTGGGCCTCGGCCGCCGCGCGCCGCCGGTCCCGGGCCGGGTCTCCGCCCGGACACCCGCCAGCCCGCCCGCCGCTTCTCCAGCCGCTCCGCCCCGCCGCGCCCGCCGCTCCCCCGCGCGCTCCCACTTCCGGGTTCCGGAGGGGCGGGGATGGGGCGTGACGCCAGCGCGCATGTGGGCGGGGCGCCAGGAGGCCACGCCCCTTCCGTCGGCCGCGGCCACCGCCTCCCAGAGGTGGTGGGCGAGACTGTTCGAGGCGAGGAGAGGGAGGCTCGCGAGCAGAGGACTTCGGCTTCGCGCTCGGCTAGCTCCTCCCGGCCCGTGGCCACCCCTCCTGCAACTCCGCATGATGGTCCAACCCGTGGCGCGGGGGCGGGCCCAGCCTTGGAGAGCTGGCCTTTGAGTAGAAGGCGGGAAAATGGCGGATTCTTCGGGGCGCGGCGCCGGGTGAGTTGAGGCGCCGCGGGTCTGGATTTGTGGAGTCAGAGGGACCGGCCTGGCCTAGGGCCGGGCTAACGGGCAGCGGAGCTGGTGAGGGGGAACCTTGGAACGAGTCCAGATCCGACCCGTGGGAACCGTGCAGGTCCCATGAGGTCCCGGAGACTTGGGGCTGCTGCGCACGGTCGGGAACTCGGCACTGGGCAGGGCCACGAGTTCGAGTCCCGCGCCCTCCGCTTTAATGCGTGGTGACCTGGGGCAAGTGGCTTGACCTCTCTGTGCCTCACTTTCCTTCTCTGCGAAATGCAGCTGACGATGCCATTCAGCCTTGAAGGCTAAGCTTAGACGCCCCGTGGAACAGTGTGGTCCTTCATTGTGAGCTGTGCGGCCACTTAAGCATCTCCTTTCATCCTTCCAACCTCTTTATTCTGTGCTCCCCATTTATAGAGGATATAATAGACACTCAGGGAGGGTAGGTCGCTTGCCCAGGGTCCCCCAGCGGGAACAAGAAAGAGATCGCACACTTAATAGACGATGGGCAAATTCCTGAGGCGGTGCTCATCTCCTGTGTTCACTGCTAATGTTTATCGTCCTCTGCACAAACTGAAATGACGTGGGCCAGTGGGAGCAGTCATGGACGTTTCCACCACCTCCCCTTGCCCTATTTAATTGGAAGATTGACCATAATCCAGAGCCTGGAGGGACTCTGCGCTGTCCCCTCTGATTCCCCCAGTGTTGCTGGTTTGGGTTCCTGGTTCTGGCCCATCCCCGACTCTCCTGCACCCGCTCAGCTGATTAGTCAGCGATTCCTGTCCCAAGGCCCCTTCTTTCCTATGGCATCAGGCTTTGTTCACTCTGGTGTTAAGTGGAGGTGGGATGCAGTAGCATGAAGTGAACCGCCCCACAGCGCATTCACAGTCTGTGAAGCCATCTCCTGGATTAGAGTTTCTCCATCACTTCAAAAGGAAACTGGTCCCCAGGAGCAGTCACTCTCCCTGCCCCGCCCCAAATACTGGAGCTTTACAATTCTGGACATGTCATGTAAGGGGATCATATCCTACGTGGTCTTGGTATCTAGTTTTCTTTTTACTCAGTATAATATTTTCAAGGTTCATCCTTATTAAAAAGTATCATTTATTTTTAGGGCTGAATAATACTGTGGCTTTCTTACTTTTTAAATTTTTTTTTTGTGGTTGTAGATGGACAGAATGCCTTTATGTTATTTATTTTTATGTGGTGCTGAGGATCGATCCCAGTGCCTCACGCATGCAAGGCAAGCGCTCTGCCACTGAGCCACAACCCCAGGCCAGCTTTCTTACTTCTTTAAAGGAGTTTTGAAGCACTTTCTAAGATTTCCTTCTGTGTTCAGTCTTGTGTTTCCAATTGTCACTCCAGGGGCCCTCAACTTGGGCACTATGGACATGTGGTGCCAGGTGTCAGTTCTGACGGAGCTCATCCTGGGCATGTAGGGTCTATAATGTCGTCGGATCCTGTAGGATTAGTGTGTTTATAGGTAGAGGCACTAGGGTGCTTCCTGTCACACTCTCCACACACTCATGAAGGAGAGGCCTCGTGAGCACACACATGCAGCCACTCGGGCACCAAGAGGCCGGTGGAGGAAACCAGCCTCACCAGCACCCAGATCTCAACCTTCTGAGAAAAAAAAGTCTGTTGTGCAAGCCACCAGTTTGTGGTGTTTTACACCCTAGGCCAACTAGTAACACTGGCCTTGGGGCACAGTGAGGGGGCGACAGCAGAGGGACCCCTGTCCTTTCTAGAACTTCAGAGACCATTTTCCTGCTACTTGCCAGTGGTCTTCATGCAACATCCCTGCGACATTGTCCAGCTCCTGCTTCAAACTCTTTCCCAATCCCAATTCCCTGTTGCCCACAGCAGGGCTCCACCTTCTGCAGGCTCGGGTGGGAGCCAGAGCACCCCTTCTTTGTATAGCTGGTGAGCTGAGAATCATTTCTGCATTTTTAAACAGTTGTTTATAATCAAAAGATTATTTTGGGACACATGAAGATTACATAAAATGCCTCCGTCTGTAAATAAAGTTTTATTGGAAACAGCCCGCCCATTCCATTCTGCCATCCGTGACTGTTCAGCCACGAGGCCTACAGAGAGGCGCGGGTTTACTGTGCGGCCCGTAGAGAAAGCTTGCCCGCCTTGACTTAGAGGAACAGGTCCAAGACCCCAGCCCCACACTGAGAACTCTTCCAGCCTGGCCCTACTCTGACCTCCCCGACTTCATACCCTGTCCACCTTCTTCCTTTCCTGCTCCAGGCCCTACTGAATCCTCGTCTCAGATTGTCCTCTGCCATAAATGAACCCTCTTTGCTTTTCATACCCTTCTACCCGCTCTGGACCTGCCTCATAAGGAAGGTACAGATTGTCCCTCTGCAGGAAGGAACTCTGCATTTTGTTCAGCACAGTATCTTCAGGAGCATACAGTAGGCACATAAACATCTGAGGAATGAGTAAACCCGTGGCTAATTTGAGATCTTCACACTTAAAAATTCCCTCTCTCCCCCAAAGCTCCTGTCATTCTCTATCAGCCCAGGAATTTGGCTCCACCACGAGGCCCATGTGACCGTGACTGCCTCGCTTCCTGTTGAGGTGGCCCAGCCTCACTAAGATTGTCCTTGGGCAGCACAGGGACTGGGCTGTCCCCAGGAAACCCTGGCTGCCAGCTGGTGCAAGCTCCTTGCCGCCTCCTCTGTGCTTCTTGTGCCACGAGATGAACAAGACCTTTCCCCTGTCTTACAGGAAGGCTTCCGCCGCTGCTCCCAACCCCACTAGCGGTGCCAAGCCAAGAGGAAAAAGAGCACAGGGTGAGCACCATGAGGGTCTGTTCATCTAAAAAGTGCTTTGTTGTTTCATTAAGTGTTTTGGGTGGGGGAGGAAAAAACAGGCTGGAGAAAGGGGGCGGTGGCTTCACTTCCTCACAGTCACACTCAGGGGATTCTGAGTCTAGTTATCTCTGCACTGCAGCTGGGACGTGTGGGAGGTCACTGCAGTGGTCACTTTGGGCATTGGGGTGCTTTAGCCATGAGCATCCCCGGGGGTTTGTCCAGGATACATCCCTTGATAACACGGGCGTGGACAGCCCGAGTTGCCCTCGCCTAGAGCCAGTCTGCATTCGCACTGTGAAAACATGCCTGTGTGTCCAGTGCCCACCTGTGCGTCTGGCCTCACTGTTTCCAGCGCCCACCCTGTTGACCCCTGGCAGTGCCCAGTGTGGACAGTAGACCTGGGGTCTCCTGAGTTGGAGGTAAGGACCTCCTCGGTGGGTGCCAAGTGGCAGCAGCTCTTCAGACAGCTTCGACTGAATTTTAGTTCCAACTGCAGGCGGGGTCGTGTGAGAGCTTGGTGGTTTTTCTCCGTGTTGCTCTTGGGGATGGAGCCCAGGGCCTGCCTATGCTAGGCAAGCGCTCCGCCACGGCCTCTCCACAGACCTGCCTGTCGACGTAAGGTTGCTCCCATCAGGCCTCCACTGTCCACAACAAGCGGTTTGTTTCAGTTTTCTGGGCACAGGAAACTTGTGTCCCCACTGTCTGTGACAGCCAGAGCCTTAGATCCTTCCAGTTGAACAGAACTGCTGAAGGTATTACGAAGACTCCATGCAGGATGGCCTTGCTTCCTGGGAACTGGCAGTGTCCTTTGGCCCTGCCTCTTGCTCTGTCCACTGACAGCCCCTCAGTGTGCCTTGCTTCTGTCCCTGTATCCCACCTGGATTTAGCCTTGATGGTTAGTTAGGTGCCTGCACCATGAGAATGGCTTTGAATTGCCCCTGGCACCCACCTGTCCCAGTCCTCCGAGCTCTGCTCACAGTACCGCTTGTCCCCCCCCTCGGGGGCGCCCTGGTGACTACCCAGCTCCTGGACAGACTCTGGGCTCCCCGTTAACCGTGGGCATGCCTCCTTTCCTCTGGAGATTGCAGCTACCACCCCAGGCCCTGTGGCAGAATCCAGTGTCGCATGAAGATGTGGCTGAAGTCACAGTCTCGCCCAGTCAGACTATCAGGCTTTGTGATGTTGGCGCTGTCACCCTCCAGAGTCTCTTCAGTACAAAGGGAAATCACTGCTCTCTGAAGGCACCTCTGAAAAGTGCAGCTTCATTCATTCGATGTATTTCTGAGCACCGGCTCCACCCCTGGCGTGGAGTGTAGCAGTCAAACATCCCTACCCCCGGGGAGCCCGAGGGGAGAGAGGGCGGGCGGGAGGGAGCGTCAGCAGCCTAATGAGATGCAGAGACCATGGTGGGTGCTGAGGGCAGAAGAGCAAGGTGGCCCGGGCGGTCTAAGCTGAGCGGACGGGGTGGCAGGAACAGACCTAGTGAGAAAGCCGAAGGGCCGTCCCCAGGGGATTCTACTGTGTCTGCAGAAGACCTGGGCTCTGAGTGTCTCGGGGAGGGTCCTGAGCTTGGTGTATGAGGAAGTGAGCCGGGTACTGTGAGTGGGTGGTAGCACCCAGAGAGGGGAAGGGACTCCTAGGGGCACATCCACAGGACTGAGCCATGGGACACGGAGGAGGCCCTCAGTGAAAATTCATTCTTCCTTCCCCTCCCCCACTTGAGTGCACTTGCTGCTTTAGCTTTTGGGCAGAGTCCTCTCCTTGAACTTCTTGGATCCTGGCTCCAGAACTCTGTGGCTCCACCTTAGCTCAAGGACCTGCATACAGTATGTGTCCAATCAATGTTCTTGCATGTGGTTGGTGTCCCATTTATGCTTGAGGACGTTGCAGGGCATGATCTGAGAGGAGCAGAAGGAGTACTTCCTCTTCTTCCTGTTGTTGAGCTGCGAGGGCTGATCATGTGGGAGACTGGGTATGTGTTGGGTTTACACAGTCCTTTGTTGATTTCGTTATAAACCAGCAGTGTGTCCTCCACAGGTGGAAGAGTGGTCGAGTCTCGATATTTGCAGTATGAGAAAAAAACAAGTAAAAAGGTAATAAAATATTCAATTCAACGTCTGAACCCATTCTGACTATAGTTCTGAGTCACTTGGAATTTGGAGTCAAGTCATGTGAGCCAGTCTCAACCTGGTCCTTAAGGAAGCATTTTGGGGTCTTTGTCTAGGTGCCTCTGAGATCTCCACCCCTCCATACACAATTATGAGTCTTTGTTGTGAGTGAACAGTTGCTGTAAGATTTCCTTTTGTAAAACCATGATCTTGATTGAAACAAAATTGTTCTTGCCTTGCTATCCAGTACATTAGTCACCCCTAGTTCAAGACCACCAGTGCTTTGCAGGTAATACCAGCATTCATCTGTCCTTTCCTGCTTTCTGCCCCAGTACCTTCTCTGCATCACTACTCACGCATGTTAGGGCTGTATTAAGTAAAATAAGGGTTACTTGAACAAAAGTACTGTGATACTGCAGCAGGCAGTCTGAAAACTGAGATTGTTAGTAAGTGACAAGTAACTAACAGGTGGATAGTGTATACTATGTGGATACACCGGACAGATGATTCACATCCCAAGCAGGATGGTGTGGGATTTTATCATGCTACTTGGAACAGGACAAAATTTTAAAACTTAAGAATTATTTCTAGAGCTGGGGTTGTGGCTTAGTGGTAGAGTGCTTGTCTAGCTCGTGCAAGGCACTGGATTCAATCCTCAGCACCACATAAAAATAAATAAATAAAATAAAGGTATTGTGTCTGACTCCAATTAAAAAAATATTTTTTAAAAAAAGAATTATTTCTGAAATTTTCCATTCATTATTTTCACTGTGGATCACTTTTAGGATTCTGAAGCAGTCCTGGGCTTATAACTAAGCATTTAAAAAAAATTTTTTTTTTTAGTTGTAGATTTTATTTATTTATTTTATGTGGTACAGAGAATCAAACCGGTGCCTCACACATTCTAGGCAAGCGCTCTGCCACTGAGCTCCAACCCCAGCCCTAGCTAAGCATTTTTTTAAAAAAGACCTGCCGTGTTTTGGAGGAAAACCATGGGAGGAGCGACGTGCTTCTCTTACCCATTATTAGAGGGGAGTTTAGCAAACTACCATGTAGCCACTCAGTGAAGCCTTCACACCTTCACGGAAGATGCTTAACCACACATGAACGTGCTTGTGTGAGGTTACTGAAAAGTCAGCACATCACCTAATTGCACACTCTGTTTCAGTGGAACCTACGAAGAAGTGGTGAAAGGCAAGTTGGGTTGCTCCTCTGCTTTCTAAATCTCGGTTTGTGATGCACAAAATTCAGTTAAATACTCATTTCTGCCACCTGCCCCATGCTCTGTACAGGGTGGGTGGTGGGTGGCAGGTTCCTAAGAATGTGACATGAGATGTCGCTTGAGGAAAAAGGCAACTTTGTCCCTCGGGGTTCCCCTCCTTGGAGTGATTTTCAACAAAGGCCACAGCCCACAGTCACAAGTCTACGTTGCCTTGAAAAGTTTGTTACAGCGCCCCCGTGTGTCTGTGGACGGTGTCGATCTAGAGCTTCCAGAGCATTCTCTTTTTTTCTTCTTCTTCCCCCCATTTTTAAAATCAAAGTTTAATTAACAGAGTCACCTCCCCCTGCTCAGCACGAGGCTCTGCAGGCCCTGATAATGCAGTCTCAGAACCTTCTCCACTGTGCAGAGAAAGCAGCGCACCCCAACCTCGCCCTGGGGGAGCCTCCGCTCTCCTGCCCCCAGGCAGCCACAGACTTGCTTTCTGGTCCTGCGGTTAGCCATTTCCAGAAGGCCGGGTCAGTGGTGGGCGTGGTGGGCCGCCTTAGGCCTCCGGCTTCTGACCCCCAGGTGCACCCGCAGCCCTCCGTGTCGTGTGCGATGGTGGTCACTTCCTTCTTAGGGCTGCGTCAGTGCCGCTGTGTGGAGGGACCACCTTCGCTGGTCCAGAGGCGCTGGTTTTCCATTTTGGCGATCATGAGCAAACCCACTATTGGCCGAGTATCCCTTATCTGAACAATTTGAGACCATAAGTATTTCAGATTCTGGAGTTTTTCACATTTTAGAATATTTGGAGAGGCTTTATGGGTTGAACCCCCATGATCAGAAAATCTGAAACCTGAAACATTCTGAGCACCATGTTGGCACTCATTTTGGATTTTTGATTTGGGGGTTAGGGACGTCTCGCCTGTATAAACCTCTCTCTGTGTTTGGGTGGACGTGTTTTCATTTTTCCCAGGAGCAAGGTGGCTGGCTCGTTGGAGGTGTGTGTGCTTAATTTTACAAAAGCTGCACCATTTTACATCCCACCAGGCACATAGGAGAGGTGTCGTGTTGTGTTTTCTTTTAAATCTTAGTCCTGCTGGGTGTGGAGGGTGTCTCACTGTGGTTTGATGTGCATTTCCATAGCAGTTGGTACTAGGCATATTTTCATGTACTTATTGGTCATTCTTATATCTTTTTTTAATTTGCTTTTCTGTAGTTTAGGTGCAGCATGCCTGTATTGTTTTTTATTTATATGTGGTGCTGAGGTTTGAACCCAGTGCCTCACACGTGCTAGGCAAGCGCTCTGCTCTGGGTCTCAGCCCCAATCCTTATTCTTATATCTTTGGTGACTTGTCTCTTCAAACTTTTTGCCAGTTTTAAAGTTGGGCTGTTTTCTAAATGTTGCCGTGTCGCAAGGGTTCTTTCTGTAATCAGCCCTTCACGCAGGGTGAGACCATCCTCACAGTCCACGACGGCCTGTCGCTCTCCTGAGCGCCTTTGAGGAGGGAGAGGGCTGGACTGTGATGAAGGCCAGCCTCAGTTTCTGCTTTTATGGGTCGTGCTTTATGTCTTATCTAAGAAGTCCCTGCCAACCTAAAGGTTGTGTCCTGAGTTTTCTTGCAGGTATTTATGGTCTTGGGTTTAACATTTAGGTCTGATACATTTTGATTTAGTTTTCCCATATCCTGCCATGTGGGAATCAAAGTCCCATTGTTAGTGTGTGGGTGTCCAGTTCAAGCTGCAGCTGCTGAAATAACTTTCCTTTCCCCGTTGTCTTATCACCTCTTTTTTTTTTTTTTTTTTTTTGGTACTAGAGATTGAACCCAGGGGTGCTCGACCACAGAGCCCCATCCCCAGCCCTATTTTGTATTTTATTTAGAGACAGGGTCTCACTGAGTTGCCTAGCGCCTCACTAAGTTGCGAAGGCTAGCTTTGAACTCCCAATCCTCCTGCCTCAGCCTCCTGTGTAAAGCGAGGCTCTTATCTCTTGAGTGATCAGGTGCCATTCGTGTCCGCGTCATTTCTGGGCTCCATTTTCTCGATAGTCTGTGGTCTTTCCTTACAGCAGTCCCCACTGCCGCGGCTGCTTAGTAGCTTTGTCCTTAACTAAAATCAGGTAGATTAAAACCTCCTGTTCTGTTCTTTGCAAAATGGTTTCGTCTTTCTGCCTTTTTGTGGAACATTTAAAATAAGTTTTTCATTTTCTCAGCAAAACTCTGGCTGGAATTCTGACTATGGCGTCAGAATCAATGTTGGGAGAAGGCCATCCGAATAGCACGGAGTCTTCCGGACCGTGGACGTGGCGAACTTCTCCGTTTACTTAGCTCTTCTTGGACTTTTTTTAATAGTGCTTTGTACTTTCCAGTGTTTAGATCTTACACATTTTTATTGGGTTTGTATGTAAACATTTGTTGGTGTTTAGTGCTATTACCCATGGGGTTTTTGTTCTTGACAGTAGAATGCACTTTGGCATAGACATGAATGGATACGTGGTACTTTTAACTTCAGATTCCAAACTTGTTCCTTGCTTAGAGGGAGGATCCATTTTTCACATTGACTCTGTGTTCTGCAACCTGCTGTGTTAGAGTTCTCCAGAGAAACAGAATCAGGAGATATATTTTATGTTTATGTATGTGTGTATAATTCACATTGTATTTGTATTTATTACATAGAGATTTATTACAGTAAATGAATAAATCTCTCATGTAATGATAAAGCCTGAGAAGTCCCTTGATCTGCTGCCGTCTGCGAGCACCAGACCCAGGAAATCTGGTGTTGTCACCTGGTGTGGGATGAGAGGCCTGAGGACTAAGGGTGTGGGTGGTGTAATCCTAGTCCAGGGCCTGGAGGAGGTGAGATGTCCCAGCTCAGTCAGACGGGCAGGAAGCAGAGGAGCCAATTCCCTGTCACCTTCTGCCCCTGCTCAGGCCCTCAGGATGGCTGGCAGTGGCCATTCATGTTGGGGGGCCACACCCAGGATACTGGCACCTCGTGGCCGTTCAAGTGGACACACAAAATGAACCATCACACCTGGTACATTTCTTTCTTAGTTTTGATCATGATTTTGAGGAAGTTTGGGGGTTTCTATGTGAAGAATCATGTCTTTAAGAAATAAGTCTTAGGATGGGCACGGTGGCACACGCCTGTCATCCCAGCAGCTCGGGAGACCGAGGCTGGAGGATCGAGAGTTCAAAGCCAGCCTCAGCAACAGGGAGACTCTAAGCAACTCAGTGAGACCCTGTCTCTAAATAAAATACAAAATGGGGCTGGGGTGGGGCTCAGTGGTCGAGTGTCCCTGAGTTCAAGCCCCGGTACCTCCCGAGAAAAGAAGTGAGTCTTATTTTTTCTTTTCCAGCCTGTTTGTCTGTAATTTCTCTTGGGGGGGCTGTTTGTTTTGGGTTTCTTTCTTTGTTGCTTTTGTTGTCTGTTCTGGGCAGCACTGGACTGAGCCTGTCTGAGCAGCTTCCCTGCCCTTTAGTTTCCATTTGGAGATGGGCCATGTCGCCCAGCCTGGCCGTGACTTCCAAGTGGCTGTGGTTATGGGCACGCGCTGCCTCACCTGGTTTCTCTAGCCCTGTAGAAGGTTTGTGTGTTGTGTTTTTTGTTTGTTTGTTTGTTTGTGGTTTTGTTTTGCTTTTTGTCATTAGGATTATAAGAGCAGCACTGGGTAAATTGCATGCTTATTTTTGGTAATTCTGAAGATTAATACCTGCATAAAAACTTTTTTTTTTAAAGACCAAGTAATATGTTCTCACCAGAAAACAAGCAAATACTGAAAAGTATACAGAAAAAATCCATCCCCTGTCACCTGCCATACCAAAGATATAATGTGCAAACCATGTGCTGTGCATGTGAGTGTCCCCATTTTGACAAAATTTGTACATCCTGTATATAAAGATAAAATTTCAAAACTCCTAAATCTCTCTTTTGCCTCAAAAAAGAGCAGGGACCAGTTCAGGTGTTTCCAGGGCTCCCTCTCGGGAGGGAAAGGGTCTTGTCCTTTTGTTTTGTTTGTTTCTTTTGTGTTTTGTGGTGCTGGGGGTCAAACCCCGTGCTGTACCTCTGAGCCACACTTCCAGCCCTGTCTCCTCCTCTGAATGTCACATGTTCTTGGAACAGGCTCCTGCAGCAGATGCATTGAAAGCCAGCGGGAAGGTGCCTGAAGGTGGAAGGAAAGCCACCCTGCTCCAGAAGAGCAAAGGTGGGACACACCCTGGGCCTCAGGGTTGGGGGCACGGTGGGGACTTTGTTTTGAAGCGTGCAGTGTGGGGGCTCCCGTTCTTTCTGGGAAGCACTGAAGAAGGAGCCAGGCAGCGTTTGATCAAGGACAGGTTAGGGGCACGTGTGGAGGTGAGGAGGGGTGGAGGGGAGGCAGGGAGGCCACTTCCTTCCTGTGTGGCCCCAAAGAAGAGCTGTTCTGCCATCGAGGCTTTTCCTGCAGCGATGGCTCCTGAGTACACATCTGTGTCCCTACCGGCACTCTCGGGGGCATACAGGATGGGGAGCCTCATCCTCCTGCGCCTCGCTGCCCTGGGTCGGCCTTCCTCATCTCCTGCGCTGGAAGCAGTGAGGGACTCTCCTGTCATCTCCTAGAAGCTGCCACCAAACAAAAGGAGCAGTTTCTAGTTTTTCTGATTGTGGATGTGATGCGTATTCATTATAAAAATTGCAGAGCAGGGATCAGGCTGGATGGTGCTAGTCCCATTTTTTGTTGATGTAACAGGATTCCTGAGCCTGGGTAATTTATCATTTTTTAAAAACGAAGTTGATTTGACTCACAGTTCCAGAAGTCCAAGAGCATATGGCCTGGCTTCAGGTGAGGGCCCTGTGCTGCTCCACGCATGGTGGGAGGTGGAGGAGAGGGAGAGGACACAGTGGTGACCTGCTTTATGTCAGCCCTTCTCATGAGGACGAGTCCAGAAATCAGTCCTCCTAAGGCCCCACCGCCTCAGTGCTATCCCCTGGGGTCAGGCCTCAGCATGAGCCCAGACGCAGCAGCCTGAACCCACACCACTGGGCTCTCCTCTCCTCGATGTCGCATCCAGTTTCTCAGCTGCGTGGCTCATTGAATGGCCTCCTGCTCAGTTCCAAGCTGACGGTGTGTTGCTCAGACCATCTGTTGGCGCTCGCAGTGTCCCGAGCCCTGAGTGACTGCAGCATGCTGGGCATCACCGCTGCTCTCAGCCCGGGAAGCCCAGTTTGGCCATTTTAAAGGCTAAAAAAAGACGAAGGGACTCCCTGGAAAATGAACAGTCCAGGAGCTGCAGAGGAAGGATGGCGAGGGCAGGAGGCGGCCCGATGATGACACTGTCACATCTTGAGCATCTCGCACACCGAGTGGAAGGGCTTCTTTGCATCTTTTTGTAATAAAGAACGTCTCTTCTAGATTACAGGTTGAGCAGTCCCTAGTCTGAGATCTGCAGTACTCCAAAATCCGACACTATTTGTGTACCAGTGTGACACCACAATGGGAAAATTCTACACTGTGAAACTCTTTCATGCCCAAGATTATTTTTTAAGATATTGTGTGAAGTTACCTTTGGCCTGTGTGTCTAAGGTGCATAGGAAACATCAACCAGTTTTGCATTTAGACTTGGGTCCCAGGCCCAAGATATCTCATTTTGTATACGCAAATGTTCCAAAATCCCAAATCCTAAACACATCCGGTCCCAGCCACTTCAGATAAGGGATCTCAGCCTGTGTTTAAAACACATATTCAGGTGGGCTGGGAATTTCCGCTGTACATCAGCCTTTCCTACACTAGGCAGAAGCTGGGTATTTGGAAGCGAGTGGTATCGTACAACAGGTTGCCAACGTTCCCTGACGCAAACGTTGAGTGTCTCACTGCCCCTGGTGCTGACTTGGGGGTTCCTGTTTGGACCGCAGATGGCAGCGGAACCGTGAAGGGAGACCTGCAGTCCACGCTGCTGGAAGGGCATGGCACGGCCCCGCCTGACCTGGATCTCTCCGCCATTAATGGTAAATGGTTCATTTCACCTCCTCTGTCCCTGCTGGGTTTTTGTGGGTCTTAGTGGGGCTTCCAAAGTAGAGATGGCCCCCGCATTGTGGTTCGGTTTAGGATTTCTCAAGTTCATGATGGTGCCAGTACACACTGAATCTGGATCTTCTCTTGGGGTACGTGATGTGCAGTTCAGTCTTCTCCTGTGATGCTGGGCAGCAGGACACAGCTTCCAGTCAGTGCCAGGACCACAGGAGACGCCTCTGCCGCAGTGTGCCGTGTGGCTCAGCTGGGCTGCGGGGGAGGCGGATTCAGTGCATTTCCGGCTTACAGAGGGTGGTGGGATGAGCTGTGCTGCTCAGCTTCCAAGACCCCTCTTTGTCTCAGACAGGAGCATGGTCAGGAGGACTCCACAGCTGGAAAAGACCATGGCAAAGAAAACCGAGTCGACGTCATTTATTGCCCCGCGGAAAAAGAACCCGGTTAGTGTCCAAGGTGAAAGAGCAGCTGCCAGCAGGTTGCGCCCTCTGACTTAGTGCCGGCCCTGCCACAGCTGCTGCCCGAGGCCCAGGGCTGCAAGAGCAAAACGAGACCACAGACGTTCTTAGGTCCATCGCAGAGGTTGCATTTATGGGTATTTGGAAGCAAGAGTGCAGCTCCAGGGGTGCAGCTCAGGGGTAGAGCACTCGCCCAACATGCAGGACCCTGGGTTCCATCCCCAGCTCTGTCCCCCACACAAAAATATTGGCTCCTTCTCAGCGCTAGGGCAGTGCTAGGCAAGGGTAGAGGCCAGGCGCTGTCCCCTGGTGGGAGGACGGCTGGGCCATGGTCTCTGTAGGGCCTGGATGGGAGTTTGGGCAGGAGTTCCGGTTTAGTGCCTGGTCCGTGGCCCTCCCCTTACTGCCTGGCTATTCCCTCTCCATCTTCTGGCTTCGGGAGGCCGCCAGCCCTCTCTCTTCCTTCTCTAGAGCACAGCTCCCAGAGACTAAATAAATGGTGCACACCTGTAAGCCCAGCCCCCCCAGAGGCCGAAGCAGGAAGGTCACAGATTCAAACCGGCCTCAGCAACTTAGTAAGACCCTGCCTCAAAATAAAAAAAAAAAAAAAGTCTGGGGACGTGGCTCAGTGGCAGATGACTTGTTGAGCACACGAGGGCCCTGGGTTCCGTCCCCAACCCCACAAAAGAAAACTATTTTTTTTAATGGAGAAAGTGCCTGTAGGGGGGCTGGGGTTGTGGCTCAACAGTAGAGCGCTCACCCAGCCCGTCCAGGGCCCTGGGTTCCATCCTCAGCACCACGTGAAAATAGAATAAAGGTATTGTGACCACCTACAACTAAAACAAAATACTTTATAAAATAAAAAAAGTGCTTGTAGGTGTGGGTTCTGCTCGAGGGAAGCGAGCTGGCTTTAATTTCTTGGGATTCAAAAGGGTCTTGGTCTTTTTCTCAAGGAGCCAACAGAAGTGATGGAGATGATGGAATCCCAGACGTTACTGCTGAGCCTGCTGACGCTGAAGGTGACAACCTGTTCCCACGTGACGTGTGCATGGGGACCTCCATAAACTGCAGCAGGGGTCCCCGGCCTGAGCTCCTGTTTCCACTGAACAGATGGAGAACAGTCTTGCTGAGTTTGAGGAGGAGGCGGAGAGGAACTTGGAACTCGTGTGCAGGGAGGCGGCGGCCCTGCAGGAGCAGGCCCACGGGCTGCGGCGCAGGCTCTTCCTCTGCCAGAGGACCCGGGAGCTGGCCGAGACCCTCGACGCCCAGGTCAGGTGTGAGTGACATGTGACCACGGCTCCGAGCAGAGGGTTCCCGGTGGGGTCATCTCACCGGGAACACTGGTGCGGGACTGGCCTCTGATGGCAGGGTACAGGACTGGACCAGAGGACCAGGTTATAACATGGAGCAAGGGCCAGTGAGGGACCCGTCCCTTCCCCACCAGTGCACAGTCCTTGGGCGCCGGCCAGTCTTGTGTGACTAGAGGAGCACATGCTCTGGCCCACCCTGCAGGGTCAGGGTGCTGGCAGGAGACACTCTCTCTCCATGCGGTGTGGTCAGCACCGGGACAAAGGTGTCCGTGCCAGGGAAGGACACAGCCAACCCTGGGAACCCAGAGCCAGACCCGGGACAGGAGGCCTCACCCAGCGTGAGTCTCCTGTGGTGGTCTGACAGCTGAGCGCTGTTCTTCTCTGGTCTGGAGACCAAAGGCTGGGAGCCGGGTGCTGGCAGGGCAGCTCTGCCCGGGGCCGTGAGGGAGGGTCTGTGCCGGCCTCTGTCCCTGGCTGAGCTGTCTTTTCATGTGTCCTCCCTATGTCCAGATTTCCCCTTTTGGGGGACCCAGTCATGTTGGATGGGGGCCCACCTGCTGACCTTCTTGGGGAGCATCACTTTTTTAAAGACCCTGTCTCCCAATGAGGTCACGTCTCGAGATCCTGGGAGTTAGGACTTCAGATACAAATCAGTTCAGCTCGTAACACCAGTGTGTGCCTGTGAGCACCCTGCAGCCAGGTCCTGGGGCTGAGCACACACAGGTTCCTGTCCTTACGAAGCCTTAGTGCAAGGAAAAGATGATTCAGTGCACAGACACACCGTCTCGCAGCCCAGAGAGGACCTGGCCTGTGTACACGGGAAAGCGGGCTGAGCGCCAGGGCTGGGTGGTCCGGGTGTTTTGGGCTGAGTGGTCTGTGATCCCAGTCGAGCCTTTGGTCTGGGACACAGAGAATGGTGGACGTGGTTTTGTGTGAAGAGCCCAGGCCTCCTTGGATCTGCTGGTGCCCCCTGGCCGCAGAGAGTGAGGGGGGGCCTGCTGCACCCTCAGAGGCTTCCTGGGCACCAGGACCCCTGGGGGTTGGTGGAAGGACGGGGCTGCGTCTCAGGCTTGCACTGTGGTGCCCGAGGACGGGAGGGGTGGCTTGGTGGTGGGGCACGCGCTTAGCTGGCCCGATGCCCTGGGCTCCATCCCAGCAAAAAAAAAAAGGAAACCCACTCCCCACTGATGTCCCAGGGCCTCCTCACAGCCCTCTCCGCCTCCTGCAGATGGAGCTGCTCGGCCCCTTCGAGGCGGTGTGTGAGCGCTTTAAGGAGCAGTACAGGACGTTCGCCACAGCCCTGGACACCACGAGGCACGAGCTGCCCCTGAAGTCCATCCACCTGGAGGGAGACGGGCACCAGCTCTTGGGTAGGAAATGGCGCCACGTGGGGGGAGCAGCGGGGAGACCCACCCCAGCATGGCAGTGCTTCCCATGTGCCCGCAACCTTTGCCCTCTGGTGCCAGTGAGACGGGCACCCTCTCGCCATGGAGTGACAGGGCCCTGGGGGCCAGCGAGGCTGTGCTTCCTCCAGGGTCTCGGCCTGCACAGGCCACGGGGCTGGGATTGGAGCCCAGGGCTGTGGGATCCAGGGGGACCTCCATTCCTTCTGAAAGGTGTCCACAGGGCAGCTGCGTCCCCTGAGCCTGGGTCCCTAAAAATGTGCCTTGAAAGTCACCAGTTCCTGTCCTGCACGGGGCCTCCATCTGTCTGAAGGCCTTGGCGAGCCTGGAAGCTGCAGGGCAGGGTGAGACCCGCGGTGGGTCAGGTGTCCGTCCAGGCGCGTTGCAGGGGCCCAGGACGCGCCCCTCCACCTCCCTAAAGTCAAGGAGGAGGGCTTCCCCGGGACTGAGAGCACCTGCTGGTGGCCTGCTCTCCCAGCCTTTTCTGTGGTGTAACTCTTGTTTGGTGCCAGGGATGGGACCCAGGGTGCCTGGTGGGCAAGCGAGTACCGCCGAGCTCCACCGCAGCCTTCATGGTTCTCACTGGGCTGCGTTGCCCAGGCTGGCCTCGACCTGGAGCTCAGGCGTCCCCCCCTCAGCCTCTGGAGTAGCTGGAGTACAGGTGCCCCTGGGACATATGGTTTTGTCATGCATCCTGAGACTTGTGACCGGCTCACTTGCTGCGTGCGTGTCTGTACGTACGCGGGCTGCGTTCTCTCCCCATCTTGTGAGCGTTTCTTTTTTCTTCTTCCTTTGTTTATGGAGGGGCTTCCTGGGGATTGAGCCCAGAGGCGCCTTACCACTGAGCCGCGTCCCCAGCCTTTTTACTTTTTTATTCTGAGACAGGGTCTCACTAAGTTGCTGAGGCTGGCCTTAAGCTTGTGATCCTCCTGCCTCAGCCTCTTGCGCCACTGGGATTATAGGCGAGTGGTACCGTCCCAATTCTCATGAGCGTTTCTCTTTGTAGGAAGAACACACGGGTCACATGCCCATTCCACGGCCGCATGTGACTTAGCCCTCCCTTCCCGGTTGAGAATCAGTGCCTGGGGTTCTGTTTTATGGTTGGTCACCCCACACTGTCATTCTTGGCTCCGTCTCTGACATGTGCCTTAAGTGGTCACCAGGCATTGGACCAGGGACAGCGGGTTTTCTGTAGCTGCTGGAACAAATGACCGCAGGCCTGGGTGGCTTAACACAAGGGAAGTGTGTTCCCTCAGTCCTGGAGGCCAGAGTCTGAAATCCAGGTGTTGGCAGGACTGGGTCCTTCTAGAGACTTGGGGGGCATCTGTTCCAGGCCTCTCTCCTGGCTTCTGATGTTGGTGGCAACGCCCGGCGTCCCTTTCCTGTGGCCATGACACTGCAGTCTCTGGCTCCAGCTTCACGTGGCTTCTCCTGAGTGTCTCTAACTGAACCTCCCCCTCCTGGAGGTCCCTGGTCATTGTTTGGAGCCCGCCTGCTGACCTCATCTCTACTCAGTGACATCCACAAGGATCCAATGTCCAGTTAAGGTCACTTCATGGTCCCTGAGCTTAGGACTTGAGCATCCTGTTTGGAGGACATGGTTCGGTCCACAACAGGAAGCAGAAGAGGACGTGCAATTATAAGGCTCTTGGAAGCTTCCCAGAACGTGTCCTGCAGTGAACCTGGCCTGCCTGTGACGTGCCATCTCAGCACAGGTGGCATGTGCTCCACGGCCACAGGCGTCCCTTGCTCATGCTTACAGAGGTGCTGAGGACAGGGAAGAGGGACAGAGAGCTAATAGTAAGTGGCCTGGGCCTGGCCAGAGGATGCCAGACACAGCCGTCTCATGGACAGCTTTGTCACGGGCTGCAGTGGTCTCTGTGGGGCACCACAGTGGTGTTGCAGTGACCGCCCACCTGGTGGACATGCCTGTCCCACGACCTTGGCCACGCGACCCCAGGCTGGCTTAGTCCACATGCTTCTGCTGTAACGGTGCTGGGGTCACTTATGATGAACCAGTGTATACACTGATTTGTGGTTCTGGATGCAGGGACGTCCAGTACCAAGGGGCGCATCCTGCGAGGGCTTTCTGGTCTCATGGTGGAAGAGCAGAGGGTGGGTGGGGGGACCCGGGATCAGACTGGCCGTACCCTGAAGCCCCTCTGCAGTGGGTGCTGTTATGAGGTCCCTGGGCCTCCTCACCTCGCAGCATCCCTGCCTCGGGGACCCAGTTTCCGACACCTGCCTTGTGGGTCGTCCAGGCCGGGGCGCAGCTGTCTTCCTCCCTCCCACGGCCCCTCAGTGTGTCGCAGTGATGGCCCCAGCCTCACAGTGCACTGAGGAAAGCCACCCACACTCAATGCGCCCGTCCCTTGATCCCCCACTGACAGCTCCGTCCCCTCCAGATGCTCTGCAGCGTGACCTGGAGACCACCCACCATCTCCTGGGGGAACTCGGCGTCGGCAGTGCCGAGGAGAACGAGCAGGTACTGGCCCTGCTGCACGAGCTCAGGGACGCCACCTCGAGCAAAGACCTGGAGCTGCGGAGGTACCGCTGGGCCCCCAGGGCAGGAGGGGAGCAGGGCTGGGGCCGGGCAGCCTCCCAGGCCTCTGCAGGAGGGGAGCGGCCAGCAGGTGTCATCCTCTGTGGGCACCCGTCTGTCCAGGAGCCTGGAGTTCATTTTCTAGCTCAAGTCAGTTCTGAGAACGGGATGCCAGGTGCAAAGGGGTCACAGATGTCACAGATGGAGACTAGAGTGACAGCACCAGGGACCAGCAAGGCAGGGAGGGGGACCACAGAAGAATTGAGACCCACCTCTCAAGAGTCCCTATAAGTCCCAAGCAGCCAGATGGGAAGGGTGTCACATCCGTGTCCAGCATTCAGGTGACCTTGGACCAGCCCCGCGCACTTTGAGTTCTGGTCTTTGTTCTCTGCTGAGCTGGGGCAGGAGCGGGGCCTTGAGCACCTGGGCCAAGTGCTGCCCTGGGCTGCTCCCAGCTCTGGAGGGTGCTTTCCCAACTTCCTGCTGAGCTATAAACACCACAGAAAAGGCCCAGGCCCAGCGGAGCAGCCGGCCGCCTGTGCAGAGCATGTGGCCTTGGGGCGCCAGCCCCGCATCCCACAGGGTATAGCAGCCTCGCTAAGGACCTCTGGTCACCCTTCCAGCCAGGGGTTCTTCCAGAAAAGAACCTGTTCCCCTGGCGCAGTGGCCCGTACCTGTAGTCTCAGGTCCTGGGGAGGTTGAGGTGGGAGCGTTGCAGGTTCAAGGCCAATCTGGCAACTGAGCAAGACCCTGTCTCAAAACAAAATAGAAGGGGCTGGGGCTGGGGCTGGGGCTCAGGGGCAGAGCGCGTGCCTAGCACGGGCGAGTCCTGGGTTCCCTCCTCAGCACCGCACAACAAGACAAAAGGAACCTTGTTTCCTCTTCCTTCACAATCGCACGTACAGTTCCTGAGATGCCTGGAAGGTTTAAAGGGACTCATAAGAAACAGCTGTCACCTCTATGGCACTTCTCTCTCCCATGTGTGGCGCTAGGACAAAATCAGGGGGTACACCAAAGGTTTACGGAGGGTGAGGGTCCCAGGTGGAAGGTTAAATGTGCAGGTCTAGTATCACTGGTGGCCTGAGGGCCGGGACTCCGTTCTGTTCATGGCTGTGGCCCTCTGTCCTTGAGTCCCACGTCTGCAGATGTAGCCAACCGCAGGTCGAAATATTCTTTAAACAACTGCATCCGCACAGAACATGCACAGACTTGAGTCACGGTTTCCTAAATCACACAGTAGAACAGCTGTTCAGGCACGTACGTTGTACAGCTCTCCTGCGTCATCCAGAGACAGTCCCACGACTGTGGAGGGCGTGTGCAGGTTCTTAGCAAGTGCCGTCCCATGTCACAGGGTAAAGCGGGGCTTCTGGCAACCCGAGTTCCTGGCTCGGCTCCCCGTGGCGCTGAGGGCTGCCGGGCTTTGCTGAGCTCTGGCCCTCCTCAGGCCTGCCTGGGCTGCGCTGGGATCCCACGTGGCCGCCCCTTGTTCCTCTCCGAGGCTCTAGTTTCTTTAGGTCGTGGCCATGGGGGAACGTCTCCATTCATTCTCTTGTATTCACAGGATCTTCTCCCAGGTGCTGGAACTTTCTGCTGAGGCGAGTAAAGAGGCAGCATTGATAAACCAGGAGGTCTGGGAAGAGGCCCAAGGCCTGGGGACCCCCAGCCAGTGGTACTTCAATGCAGATGGCACCTTCGGGAACCCTCGGGGAGAGCCGAGAAGCACGGTTCTCTCCGGGGACAACACGCCACATGCCCAGGGAATCCCACGCAGGCCTGTCCCCTAACCCAAGCCAAGCCCTTCCTTCCGGGAGTTGGGAGGAAGACCCACTTGTGCCTGTCTCTCGGGGTGGGGTTCACAGTGACTCGTGGCGTCCGACACTTGAGCACTTTACAGGCCCTGTCAGCGGCTCTGCTGTCTTGGTGTTTGTGATGACCTTGTTTGATGTTCAGGAAGTAAAACGTTTGCATCCGGGGTTCTTGTTTTCTGTGGAGTGGACAACTGGGAGGTCTTGTTCAGGTCCCACTGAGCCTGGGGACCTCCACAGGTGACAGGTTGGACATCTCCTCTGTGGAGGCTTGGGACCAGAGCTGTGTGGATTTCAGGTTTAGGATGTTCACAGACGTGACGTGCTGTCGCGTGGCCTCCACGAGGACTTCATCGCTAGGTCGAGGGTGGTTTTTCTCTTGATGCTGGTGGTGGAACCCGGGCCCTGTGCATGCCAGGTCCACCCTCAGCCCTGGGTCCTGGTTTCATACTAGTGGCCTGGGGAAGCGTCCCCCATCCACATAACGACCACGCCCATGACGTTCAGCTACAGGAGGCCCGGCCTCTTCAATGAAGCAGCCTTGACATTCCAATTTTCACCTAAACTTGTCCCCCATTCTCCAGTCTTAAGGTGTGTGGGCAGCTATAACAAAATACCGTAGACCAGGGGCTTCTAAACAAAACAGTGGAGGCTGGATGTCCAAGATCAAGTCAGTGTCTGGTGAGGACCTGCCTCCTTCTTGCCATGTTCCCACGAGCGTTCCCTCGGGCCTCTTATGAGAGCACTGACCCGTTCACTGGGGCTCCCCCCTTAAGAGCGGCTCACCTCCCAGAGGCCCCACCTCTTTTTTAAAAATTGTTAATAGATCTTTATTTTGTGTATTTATATGTGGTGCTGAGAATCGAACTCAGTGCCTCACACGTGCCAAACAAGTGCCCTACCGCCCGGCCCCGGCCCCACCTGTCACTGACACTTTCGAACCAGGATCTCAGCATGGGAACTGGGTAGGAGCCATTCAGGCCGTGGCACCCAGCCATCAACTCTACGTTTCCAGTCAGCTTTCTCCCCCTGGAGCTGGGGCTGTAACCAGGCTCTCCTAAGTGCCCTGTCCCTGAGCTCCACCCTGGCCCCTGCCTCCCTCTCTGTCTCCTGGTCTAGCTAAAGCCCTGCTGCAGCCAGAGGCCTGACCCGGCTCCATCCCCTGACCCCCCAGATCCTGAGTCTGCCATGGCAGGGTGAGCCACGGGACCTTGGCCCATCTGTCATTCTTTCTTTTGTCAAATCTACCTGACTTGCTCCCAGTGACTCCAGGAAAGTTTCACACTAAAATTTCTGCTTTATGATTTTTAAAATCTCTATAAACATGAATATCACATTTATCTGGGTCCTTTAATAATTAGGGACCCCTCAGGCAGTCCCTTTGGCACATCCAGCCTTCTGTCGTGTTAAGATTTTTGTTTCAGCCCTATGCAAGTCCATACCAAGAGTGTTAGGGTCATTATGCCAGGAACTGTGACCAAAGACCAAATCGATTTTTATGATACCTAAGGAGGACATCGTCGTGGTCTGGTTTTGGTTGCTATAACAGGATACCTGAGGCAGTGAAGTTTATAAAGGAAAGAGGTTTATTTAGTTCACAGTTCTGGAGGGGGATGCCCAGAGCGGGGTGCTGACATCTGGTGAGGGCACTCCTGCACTATCACAACTTGGTGCAGGGCATCCATGGCAAGGCAGCAAGCATGCCACTTTTTTTAATTTAAAAGAAAAAGCTGCGCCCTTGATAACATTAACCCATAACAGATCCATCCACTCATGAGGTCAGAACCCTCACAACCCCACCACCTCCCAGAGTCTCTGCCTCTCCACACCCGCTGTTCACGTTCCCAGCACAAACCTGGAGACGCTCTAACCAGAGCAGGTGCTGTTGGCACGGGGGCTGGGGATGGTGCTCAGCACCCCACAAGGTTCTGAATATTACTGACCCCGACAAGGAGGACACGGAGCACTGACACCTGCTGGAACAGGCTGCGCTGGGGTCCTAGGAAACGTCCGGAATGGGCAGGGATGCAGCCTGGGGCTGTCAGGAGCTGCAGGAGGGGACGGGGAGTGGGGCAGGGTCTCCTGAGGGGGAAGTTAGTGGGCACAACACGGAGTGTGCTCGCTGCCTAGAAATGGTCCATTCGTGTCCACCTCAGTTTACAGACAGGGTGACCGCAGCCTGGTGTGACCTGGTACAGGGAGGGCGGAGGGATGGCTGCTGCCCACTCATCGCTGTGGGGTGTGGGGCTCTGGGGGATGCTTCCCTTTACTTCTGCGAAGCAGGACAAGCCAGCCAGGGACAGGGGCCAGCAAGACAGTAGGGAGAGCTGAGGGGCAGGGACGAGACCTGCCCTGGAACCCCTGCTGCCATCTCTGGGCTGGCACCACCTGTCACTGTGGCCACCTCTGCAGTGGGATGCCAGGACCCACAGTGAGGCCCCGACCGTGCTGTGGCATCTCCCAGCCACCACGGGGAGAGGCAGCTGGCCTGCCCCCAGGACCTCCCAAGCCCCCGGGTTCCCACCTGTGCACCTCCATTCCCAGACCAGGACCCAGGGTTTCCACAGGTCGCCCAGCGACTCCCAAGTGTAAGGCAGAGAGCCCGGGTTCCCTCCGAGGCCTCAGCCAGGGATCCGAAGTCAAGCAAATGGGCCAAACCTGCAGGGACCTGGTACAGGGCGTCCCTCCACCTGCGCAGACCTCAGGGCCAGCACCTGTGGACCTCCCAGGGCAGGGGCTGGAGCAAACGTGGATCTGCCTGTGGCCTGCTTCATTTCAGTTTGTACCCAGCACAGTCAACACGAGCCCAAAGAACACAATTTTCAAACAGCCTCAGAATCATGTTGAGCACCCGGCATAAGTGCTGTACGTCTTTGTCCTTGGTGCTGTGCAACCCAATGGCTTTCCCTCCCTGAGCCTCCATCGTCTTCCCCGATAAAAGGGGAGCCTAAGACACCGCGGTGGCGGGACTAAAGGAGCTGCTTTAGGGGCTGAGTACAGGTCACCGGTAAGAGCCAGCGCTGTTCCACCCGCCCCTCAGGTCGCCTCCGAAGCTGAAAGGCGTCTTCAGCTCCTTTTCACAGCGAGGACAGAGCTTGGGCCGCTTGCTGCAAAGCGCTCCGCAGCAAAGCCCTGGAGGGGGAATTCGAATCCGCGCCACCGCTCCTGAGCATGCGCAGACCCGCACGTCACAGCAGGTTAGCAGCAGGAGGCTCTTCTTGTTAGGGACATTGCTCAGAAGTTGAAGACAATGATACAGTCAAACGGGACTTTCACAGGGGACAAGGAGGGTGGGCGCTGGCCTGGACCCTCCCGCAGGGACCCAGGACGGCCCTCAGCAGAGCCCCAGCTGGTCTGCAGCCAGGGCCCGGCCAATGGGGGTGCACGGAGGGGAGCACACAGTCCCCCAAAGGCTCCTAATTGCCCAGGGTCAGTGGGTCACCGAGATAATCCTCTGGGCCCCATGGGAGGGGGAGGGGGTCTCTGCCAGGGCCAGGGAAGCTTCCGGAACTCCCCGGGCCCAGTCAAGTCCAATTAGCCAGTGAGGCGGGAACGTGGGCCAGGGGCTCCTGGGCAGGAGAAGGGCCTGGCCCAGGCCCAGCTCCCTCATGGAAGGAGGCCACAGGCAGGGGCCGAGTCGGAGACTGGAGGGGGGCACGCTGGCTTTTGGTCCATGGGGTGCTCCTGTTAGCTGCAGGGCCTGGGGTCCTGCTGCTGCCTGGGTGATCTGAATTCTGCTCAGGGAGGACAGAGTGCAGGACCGACCCTGTAGGAGTGCCCAGAGTTGTCACACTGTAAATAGAGACAGAAAGTAGAGTGAGGTCAGCAGGGCTGGGCAGAGGGGCCCGGGCAGCGTTGCTTCAGTGAGCCCTGATGGGCTGTGGGGGCATTTGGGGGGCGTGGGGATGGTGGGGGCTACACAGCAGCTCAGTACAGCCCTGCGCCTGGCAAAGCCCACTGCACTTACACGTGCTGAAGCGGAAAACCTCGCGTCTGTTCTACCCCCAGCAATGAAAATCACCTGCACCAGTTTGCAGCCAGCACTTGGCCGTTCAGGAAACTGACTCGGGAGGGTGAGCAGGGGCCGTTGTTGGTGGCCAGGTGTTTGAAGATTTGGGAAGACATGCTTACTTCGTCGGTGTCAATGCTTAGTAAACAACATAGAACCAAGAAAGCCCCATCTCGGGACAGAAAGGAGCTAGAACCTCTCTCTGTTCCAAAGGGATTCCGACCTTGACGACAGAGTTGACACGGCGGTCCCCCACCATGGTTCTGGAGACCAGAGGTCCCCCACCAAGGTGTCTGCAGGGCCACGCTCCTCCAGAGGCTCTAGGGCTGGTCCTTCCTGTGCCTTCCCAGCGTCTAGGGGCTCCTGCTGTTCCCCCGCTGTGCTCTCCCCCCGGTGAACTTTTTTTTTTTTTTTTGCATCTTCCCAGGTCAGAAATTTCCTTCTGCTTTTCTCTTATCAGGAAACTGTCAGGGATGTTTTTAAATTGAAACCTTCTATCCGTACATCTTTATGGGGTACATTATGGTACCCCAAAGCATGTATCCCATGTGTGATCATCAAGTTAGAGGCATAAGCACTTCCATGTCTCTTCGACCATTAAATGATTTTTGTGTGTTGGAAACCTGGACTCTTCCTTCCTAGACGTTTTGAATGTATCGTAGATTATTTAACCAGTCCTTACCCTACTGAGCTGCAGAAAAACCAGGACTAACCCTCTTCTCTGGGCCAAGTAGCCCCCGTCCAACTTGGTCCTGTTCCCTTCCCTTCCTGAGGTCTAGGGGGCGCTATTCCACCGTGTTCTTCCATGAGATCAACTTTTGATTGGTCACGTAGGAGGGAGAACTGTCATGTTTGTCTTCCTGCGTTGGTCCTATTTAGCTTAACATAATGACCTCAGTTCCATCCATGTTGGGATTTCCATTTTTTTGTGGCTGAATAATACATATGCCACATTTTCTTTATCCTTTCATGCACCCACGGACATCCGGGTGGATACTGTATTTTGTAAATAGAGCTGTAATAAACACAGGGGTGCAAAGACCCTTTCAGTATGAATATTTCATCTCCTTCAGATACACATCCAGTGATGGAATTGGTGGATCGTGCGGTTGTTGTATTTTTGATTTTTGA